GTAACAGACTGTTTCATTGGCTAATCCCTCACACCATTCAGAACACATCAATGATAACAACTCTTCTAGATCCTAGTGTTGTTAAGACAAGTAAAAAGAAATTTTGAACTATAAAAAATGAAACGAAATAAGATCTGTGTTTTAATTTGATTGGATGAGACACAGGACTTTAACTTCCAATGGACTGTTTTTGACATCACCATTATCATTACATGAGAGAGAGAGAGAGAGAGAGAGAGAGAGAGAGAGAGAGAGATGGGGTTTAACAACCACAAGACAAAAACTAGGTCATTTCAGGACTAACATATGGTTCAATTTTATTTCAATAATTTCAGTATTTTTAGTGGCAGACTCTCCTTCCCCACCAACTGCCTTCAAACGGACAAGTGTTAGTACTACCAGGTTCTGCTTCCCGCCCACTGACAAGGAACTTTCTTGGTCAATGCTAGGATTGAAAACACAGGACCTACTGAATACTGAACCTGGCATCTTGGCTCTAAAGAAAAGATTCTTAAAAAAAACAATTGAATCTTGTCGGCACAAGTGTGTCAAATATGAGCGTGACTTAGCAATTCCAAATGTCAGCGCCGTCCTGTTCATCCACTGTGGCCCCACATGTCGGTCTCAAAATGATCACACTGGCATCAAGACTAGATGCACTTTGGTCAAGAGGTAGGCACCCTCTGGCTCATCCACTGTGGCCCCACATGTCAGTCTCAAAATTACAACACCAACACTGACATCGAGACTAGGTACACTCTTGTCAAGAGGTCAGTGCCCTCCCACTCATCCACTGTGGCCCCATTGTTAATCTTAGTGAAAATATTAATACTACATCTAGTTCTATTATTTTTAGTTAATTTAGGAACAGTCACAACTACAAAATGGACAAAACAAATGGAGCCAACCGTTAGCAGCCAGAATGAAACCGTTAGCAGCCGGAATGAAACCGTGTCAGCTCGCTCCAAGATCAGATGTGCTGCTCTATGTACCGAAACAGTCTGGTGCCAGTATTTCAAGTACTCACGTGAAAACAAAACTTGTTTCAAGGCTTCGGTGCAGAATCACGAAAAAAATATTTATCTCATGCAAAAAGATGGATACACTAAAAAAAATGGAGGCTAATGCACATGCAGTTGATAGCATATGCAAAATTAGAAAGTTATAGGGTTGGGGTGAAAATAAAATGGATTGAATTGGAAGACCTTATGATGTGGAAAGTGGAAGGAGGTTGGGAGGTATCTAAAGGAAATATATGTATTTAATCAAATCAAGAGTATTTATGGTAATAAATAAACTTTTAATCAAGAGTATTTATGGTAATAAATTAACTTTTAATCAAGAGTATTTATGGTAATAAATAAACTTTTAATCAAGAGTAATGATGGTAATAAATGGTAATAAATTAACTTTTAATCGAGAGTATTTATGGTAATAAATAAACTTTTAATCAAGAGTAATCATGGTAATAAATGGTAATAAATTAACTTTTGATCAAGAGTATTTATGGTAATTAATGATCTTTCAATCAAGTGTATTGATGGTAATAAATTAATTTTTGATCAAGAGTATTTATGGTAATAAATTAACTTTTAATCAAGAGTATTTATATACTATTCAAAAAAAGTAGGGGATATTTGATTTTGGGGGCATAATACTAAAATATGCAAATGACTACGAAAAAAGTCACTATAGAACCTAACAGAAGAAACATTTCCAGTTACATGTGACGCCCAAACGCACCAATAGCTACCGCATGGAATGCAGGTGATGCTTGGGATCATCATGGGGGTCCAACCCAAGATTTGCACGACTCTGACTCTGAATGTTACAGTCATTGTGGCATTGAATTCAAGGGTGGAAACATCAGTTTAATTGTTTTAGTGACCAGAAAACAAATTTTGATATGCGTCGGCTTACCCAAAATGAAAGGTTACGTGCCCTTGGCATGCTACAGATCGGCACAACACAGGCGGTTGTGGCGCGGACGATGAATGTTTCTCAGTCTGTCATAAGCAGGCTATGGTCTAGATACCGTGATACACAATCTGTACAGGACAGACCACGCTCAGGTCGACCCAGGGCGACAACTCAAGCCCAGGATCGATTTATCCGTACCTTGGCCTTGAGAAATCGTGTCATCACAGCAAATCAGATCAGCGCTCGTCTTCAAACAGACACTGGTGTGAGAGTGAGTGGCCAGACGATTCGGAATCGACTACATAGGGGTCACCTTCGCGCCCGACGTCCTCGCGTGATCTCTTGTTTGAGAGATCATCACATTCAGGCAAGACGTCGTTGGTGTAGGGATCGTCAACACTGGGATAATCGACGCTGGAGCAATGTGATGTTTTCAGATGAGTCAAGGTTCACTGTTGATTTTTTGGACAGACGTAGGAGGGTGTGGCGTCGTCGAAACGAGCGCTTCCAAGACGTTAACGTCATCAGACATGATCGATTTGGGGGTGGTTCTGTTAAGGTGTGGGGAGGCATCACTGTTGCTGGAAGAACGGCTTTACATGTTGTTGCAGGGCGTGTTACAGGCCAGTACTACCGGGACAACATCTTGGCAGTCCATGTTGTGCCGTTCGCACGACGTCATGGCCGCCGTTTCATCTTCCAGGATGACAACGCAAGATGTCACAGGGCCAGGATCGTTACAGGTTACCTCCAACAACAGAACATCACCACATTACCTTGGCCAGCACTGAGTCCCGACCGCTCCCCCATCGAGCATGTCTGGGACATGCTTGGACAGAGGTTACGTCAACGTCAACAACGTCCTGCCAATGTCCAAGAACTTGCTGCTGCGTTGCAACAGGAATGGGACAATCTGGACCAAAATGACCTTAGACGTCTCATTAGGAGTATGCCACGTCGGATCAATGCTTGTTTGGCAAACAGAGGAGGATTTACCCGTTACTGACTTGGTTGTGATGCTGTGGTAACTTTGCTGTTTGACCCCGGGTATCATTTTACCCTTATAATGGTCAGTCTGTGCCTTACTTAGTCTAACGATCATTTGGAATAAATCGATGAATGTGAACTTCATTTCATTTTGTCATTTGTTTCTTCGTCAGTTTCATTAGGTGACTTTAATAACACTTAAAAATCAAATATCCCCTACTTTTTTTGAATAGTATATTTAAAAATTAACTTTTAATCAAAAGTATTTATGGTAATAAATAAAATTTTAATCAAGAGTATTTAACCCTTAACCGGTTGAGGTCATTTTGACGCCATGACTTCAAGTGGTCAGACTAAATAAAGGCTGACGTGAAATATTTTGTAAGCCTATTTCAGTTGACTACAGTCGTATAATTATAAGTCATAGAAACTTGACACAAATAAAAAAGTTGAAGGGGATAAGTTGATCTATAATTTGCAAGTCCTTTTCATCAGACATATCATCTTCAGAATCGGTGTCATCAATATAATCTGAGTCTGAATCATCCATAAATATTTCAACCACTTCTGGCGTCTTTAACCTTCCAGATATCGTTTTTCGTCAAAAAATGTTGAACAGAGACATGTTTTTCTCAACGCCCTTGACAAGACAAGTTCTTGTCTGACACGCATGCGTTGCCATATCAATTAAATACGAAATTAAACACTGAAATGCGGCTTATCAAAAAGGTTCTTGCTGTGGTCGACTTAGCTGTATAACGTTGTGGTGATTATAGTCGACAATGACTGGTTAAGGGTTAAGGTAATAAATCAAGTACATGTATCTCATACAACGCAAGGAAAGAACACGGGATCTCCTGGGAAGTGGGCTAGGGCAATACTCATCGAGCCCATGTGGCTCCCCCTGCTGCTTTGAAATTAAAATGATTGTAAATAGAGAAATGGGGTTTAACGACTTCTCAGCATAAGTTAGGTGATTTGGGACTGATATATGGTTCAATTTTATTTCAATAATTTGTTTGCGTGGACAGTCTTTAGCAGTGGAAGAAAACTGGAGGACCAGGAGAAAACCCACAAGGTCGGACAGGTGACCCTAAGTAGTAATATTGATGGTGAGATTTGTACAAAACAAAATATATGTATAATAATATTCTGGCCTTGACAAATAATTTTTAACAGATTCTTAGACAAGCATAACAGCATGTGAAACAACGGAAATCTGTGATATTATGATACATGAATAGAACTGTAGGTTAAAGATACATTATGGGAGATTCGGTAACAAGTAAGCAGTTCTCACTATTAATAGTTAAAAACTAGATAATGTAAAGGCAATTTGCTGAAAAGTTCATTCAAATTGATCCACTATGAACCGAGAACTAAGCGATTGAAATTTACGCCTAGCCTCGATCATCATTACTAAAGTCAGTTCGATAAACAGTATAGTCTCGATTATCCATTTAATCGTTAAATCGTGAAGGAAAGTTATAATCCCTGTTGGTATGCAAGGTATGAGGCATGTCCATTCCATATTTGGTTAATTCGTGACGTCAGTGGGCAATCACATAATTCATTTCAGAAGACTAGGCATAGAAAATGCCAGATCTATGTGGCATCATTTCAGGTACCCGGCAGATTCTTTAGGGGGAAGATGGATGGGAGTTGGATAGAGAGAATGACTCTATTGTAATCTATGCTTGTAACCTATGTATCCAGTGCTTGACATAAAAATGTAGAAACGAACTGTGGTATTGTTATTCCTGCAACCGTAAACTGAGAATAAATTCACAATGTTTAAAGTCCTAAGTAAAAAATTACAAATATAACCAGAGACAATACTAGACGATCGCAAGGATAATAAAATCTGTAGCCGAGAAGATAGCATACGTCAGGTGTTGGATGTGGGCAGTTTTTTGAGAGTGTATGCTTTCCACATCCAACCAGCGACACACATAGTACTACACGTACAAGTGGGAAATTGAAACCACGCCCCTTGACTCAAAGACAGACCTTGTGATTTCACACGCACAAGTTAAACTACTAGAACATCCACCAACCAGCTCCCCCAACCTAATTGTAAATATATTATTTACCTTTTTAGCAATGTTGATGCGTTCACATCTAATTTGGGGTCGTTTAACACTTGTATCACGACTCCGGCTGACATCAGCTTTCATCGTTAAAGTCAGGTAAATTTTCTCACTTAACCTCCTCGTCTGCGTCTCATTTCCTGTTGACTGTCCACTATCTGAAACAGGAAGACAAACAATGAAATTCTTAATTATAAGATAGGTTGCCAGGCAACGCAACATATGCCCACAGCAGGTAAGTCGTCCAAGCAATCTACATGGGATGATGCTTGGTTATTGTTTTGTAGATAATGGAAGAGAGAGAGAAATGAGGTTTAACGTCCACTAACATATGGTTGTTTTATTTCAATAATTCGCTTGCACATATAAGGGGTCTTTAGCATTGGGATGAAACTGAAGGACTCGGAGAAAACCCACGAGGTTGGACAAGCGACACTACTCCTTGTCATGTACAACCGGGGAATTGAAAGCACGCTAGATGACTCAATGACAGACCTTATGATACAGCGTGAACGCGATAACCATTCGGCCATCCACCCCCCCCCCCCCATTGTAGATAGAGGGAGCATTTACAGGACACAAAAACTGATCAAGCGAAACAACATATTAGATAATTGAGTAATTAGAATCTCCGTCTCATGCCCAAGTGTGACAGACAGACTGACAAACCCAAGGTGGAGGACAAGAAATATAACAAATGAAATGAAATGGGGTTTAATGTCCTACTGTTCTGCTCTAACTGGGCTAATGAAGACAAGCATAAGCCATATATCAAATTCCAACTCTCAAGGGATCTTTTATGTGCACACCAATGTATACATGGGACCTTGATTTTTTATCCCATTCGAATGTCTAAACATCTGTCCTTGTCGGGGCCTCCATCCTGCACCACTGACAAGGGGAAACCACGTCGGAAAATCGTGATGAACTTTCTCGGCCAATGCAGGGATCGAATATCAACCCTTCAGACTAGCGAGCGAGAAACTTACGCACTAAGCCACCGTGGCTCCCAAACCCAAGATGGAGAACAAGAAATATAACAATTATCTTATCTCACCATCAAACACAACTTTAAATTCAGCTTTTACAATATCCTTTAATTTAACAAACAACATTTCTTCTGACACTTTCGACTTCTGTTTTAATATTCTGAAGGAATGACTGGAAACCATGGCCATCAAATTATTCTCACCATATCCAAGATATTCTAGCGATATTATACTGAAACAAGACAAATATAAAAGGATGGAATGGTGAAACAAGTATTATTTACAAATTAAAATATTCCGATTATACATATGCCAATGATTATCATGCAGCACCAGTTATCCTGGTGTGTGTGAGAGAGAGGGAGAGAGGGTGAGAGAGAGAGAGAGAGAGAGAGAGACGAACTGCACTGGACACAAACTAGGTCATTACGAGACTAGAATATGGTTCAATTTTATTTCGGTAACTAGAATGACCAGGAGAAAGCTGCTTGTCACGTACAAACAGGGATTTGAAAATCAGAGTTGGACATTCCGCCACCCCAACTACACCCTAAAATTTTTAATAAGTGATAAATTTTAGAATGGTTGAGTAAGACAGAGAGAGAAAGAAATGGGGTTTAACGTCCACTCGACACAAACTACCGGAGAGGAGAACCTGAAGAAAACCTTTAAGGTTGGACAGGCGATCCTACTCCTTGTCAAGTACAACTGACTCAATGACAGACCTTATCCAACCCCTCGTATGGTTGAGTAAGCTACCTGTGTATGTAGATTACGAAATGACTCAAGTTCAATCTAAGTAGAAGTTGTAACATGTTTTATACTCACTATTCACTGTAATCGTTGTTATTCAACGAATAAAGCAGCCACTGAGCACGGGCCAAGGCACCACTGTACGACGATATCAGGCCCTGAGCTCCTGGATTAACTCTGGGGTCACGAACTCTGGGTGGATGAACACGAGATGAAACACGACTTGTATCACGAACAGCATTTGCCATTCCTGATGTAAAGTCTAGAACTCCTGCTACAGGCTTGGTTACCGTGCCAACCAGACCTTTTCCTGCTCCCTTGAAAAATCCCTGAAATAAATAAAGCAAACAATAAGTGTCAGAGATTCATGGAAATTTATTGTAAAACATATAAACAACCAAAAGACGCCTATGCATTTTCTATATATAACAAAATGCATTTTTCAAACACTCTTTCTTCTCCCGTCTGGAACCGAATACAGATATACCTAGAACCCTGGATCCTCAAGAATTTGAACATCATCAGCATTTGATTTAAAAATGGATAATCCAGACTTTGTTTATCATTGTTACAATGGCACATGATAATCAAGACTATACTGTGAACACTTCAAAGCCAGATAACTTCTCTCACAATAAAGTAATTTGAATGAAATTTTCAATACATTAATTTTTCATTATCTATTTGTGAACTATTATAGCAAGAACGTACAGTTATTTATCTAAATCTTACATAAGGTATCTTTAAGGAAACGGTAAAATATTGATATTTGTCAATTTAAATCAGTGGTTCTCAACCTTTTGATAGCAATGGCACACCTTGGAACATGACAAAATAGCGGTACACCTGGCTAAATATATATGAAAAATATTTGAATTATGCAAAACAAAAACATGGCAAGTCATAGACGGTATACAACTGTAGACACAGATCAATCATAGAAACATAGAATGACTGAAACTAAATAAAGAAAAACACAGCTATGAACTTATCAGTGGACACCAGTGAATACTCAATTGGGATCAAGTGGCTTTTTCGCATTTTCTTTGTGTGCCGTTTAAAATTTCGCGGCACACGTGGAAAGATCTCGTGGCACAGCTGGTTGAGAATCACTGTTTTAAATGGTCACATGATTTTAAAGGAGATGAATAAACATGGCTAACATACCCCTATTCCTTTTTCTTTAGCACCACTATAAGACTGGGTAACAATTCCTGTCAGACCTCCATAGATACCATAACCCAGTCCTTTAATACCAGCTAAAACATGGGAGCTGCCTTGTCCAGACTCCACTTGACGTAAATCTTCACGTGTTTTATTGTGTTTGTCATCCATCGATATGGTAGTTAAACCATCGGACAACGCTCCGGTCATCTGTAAAGTATAATATAAATACAGGTCTGAACGAAGGGGGAGAGAGAGAGAGAGAGAGAGAAATGGGGTTTAACGTCCACTCGACACAAGCTAGGTGATTTCGGGACTAACATATGGTTCAATTTTATTTCAATAATTTGCTTGCGCGTAGGGGTCTTTAACAGTGGGAGGAAACTGGAGGACCAAGAGAAAACCTACGAGGTTGGACAGGCGACCCTACTCCTTGTCACATACAACCAGGGAATCAAAACCAAACCCGTTGATGCAATGACAGACATTATGATACAACGCGCACTCGCTAACCATTCGGCCATCCAATTTTATTTCAATAATTCCCTGATACGTAATGGGAAGAAACCGGAGGACATGGAGAAAAGCCATGAGGTTGGACATGCGGGTCACATACAACAGGGCAAAAATGAAACCACGCCAGTTACTCAATGACAGACCTAATCATACAACTCCCACACGCTAACCATTCAGCCATCCCCCCTCCCCACTCTTTGCTGCGGTGTTTGAAACTCAGATGTTAGATATTACCAATCTGATTAAAATACAGATCTATGTTTCATTTCGTTTTTTTATAGTTGCAATGACCTCTACTACATGTAGATATGACCGGTTGCAGTAAAAGGTCGCGTCAGGGGTTGTACAAGCGGCTCTTGACCCTATGATGTCAGACATTTATTAATCAATCTGCATTGACGTTTCTAGTGGTTTACCCACAGTTCTGTGTACCACAGGCCAAGAATTCGCTGTAACAAACCTTTTCATTGGTTAATCTCTCAAATCATCGAGAACGCGGGTTATATAACAACTCTTCCAGATCCTAGTGTAGTAAAGACAAGTAAAACAAAATTTTTAAACTATAAAAAAACAAAACGAAATATTATCTGTGTTTTAATCAGATTGAGATATTATGTCACCTTTGCTGCAGTGTTGGAAACGCCATGTGTCACATTTTTAAAAAGTCCACCAACATTACCATCTTTAATCAACCCTGATAAACCTTCTGTAACATCATTTACAAAACCCAGGGGATTACCCAGGAAATCAACAGATCCTAAAATCTTGGCTGCTTGACTCTTTAATTCCTGAAATATCCAATCAGAAAATACCAGTAAATTAAACAGTTTGTCTCTATGGCTGTGCGTTAAGGGGGAGGGTATATATATATATATATATTTCATCTTCATCAGCCCAGATGGTTCAGAAAAGTAGGACATAAAACCAAATTTCATTTCATTTTGTACACTACAGCTTTGCATCTATTGCATGATATGCAATGACCTTTTGAATCAACAATTGCTACAACCTAGGGTTAGATCTTTTTTCCATTAAATGCAAGGAAAGGAAGGAAAATGAAATGAAATGAAATGGAGTTTAACGTCCTACTGTTCTGCTCCTAACCTAGGCTAATGAAGACGGGGGAAAGGAAGGAAATGCTATGGTTGAAAGGGAAGGCTGGGGAAGTAATGGAATACAATGCTAGGAAAGGAAAGAAATGCTAGGGAAGGAATGAAATGCTAGGGAAGGAATGAAATGGGTTTGAGCATTCTACTTTTCTTTAGAGGAGAAACGAAATGGGATTTAACTCCTACTGTTCTGCTTCGATTTGGATAATGATGACTGGCATACGCCATACAGTGTGCTATGGTAGAAATTTTGCCCAGACAGGGCACTATGGCCTACTCTTATATCGAATTCCAACTGCCAAGGAATCTTTTACGTGCACTCCTATGTATACACTAGAAAGCTGTCCTTGTCATGCCCTCCCTCCTGTACCACTGACAAAGGGAAACCATGCCGGAAAATCTTGATGAACTTTCGCGACCAATGCAAGGTTCAAACACGCGACCTCCAGGCTAGCAAGCCAGGGTTTACCAAAAATTAGCCAACTTGGCTACCCTTTAGAGGAGAACTTTGCGTCAACACGGTTTTCATTCAAGGTTACGCTTATGTTCACACCCACATATGTTCACACTCACATATTTATGAGTGGATCCGTCTTTTTTGCTCCATCTAAATTGTGCTTGAAATGTTTAGATTCATTTAGCCTAAAACACAATTCCGATACAGGACATTATTGTCAAGATTCCACTGAGCCCACCGCTTTGTACAGAACAAACAGCATACTGCCTTACCTCGGTATAATGGGTCATAATTTCATTCAGTAGAAAGCTGCTCGTCTCAAATGGGTGATTCATTAGAAACTGATCTGTAAGAAATTTTGTACATACATTAGATTAACATTGTACGGACGCAGGACTTCTTCTAGTCAGGTTAAAATAATATTCATGTCAATTATCTGTGTCAACTTTATGCCACTTAATTGTGTCAAATTTAGGCTGTATATCAAAGTCAATTCAATGGCACTTACCTAAGTAAACTTTATGTTGTTTACCTATTTTAACTATATGCTACATATCAAAGCCATTTTTATGGCATGTACATTAACTTTTGCCACATATAAAAACAACTTTATGGCATATATACTATTCAAAAAAAGTAGGGGATATTTGATTTTTAAGTGTTATTAAAGTCACCTAATGAAACTGACGAAGAAACAAATGACAAAATGAAATGAAGTTCACATTCATCGATTTATTCCAAATGATCGTTAGACTAAGTAAGGCACAGACTGACCATTATAAGGGTAAAATGATACCCGGGGTCAAACAGCAAAGTTACCACAGCATCACAACCAAGTCAGTAACGGGTAAATCCTCCTCTGTTTGCCAAACAAGCATTGATCCGACGTGGCATACTCCTAATGAGACGTCTAAGGTCATTTTGGTCCAGATTGTCCCATTCCTGTTGCAACGCAGCAGCAAGTTCTTGGACATTGGCAGGACGTTGTTGACGTTGACGTAACCTCTGTCCAAGCATGTCCCAGACATGCTCGATGGGGGAGAGGTCGGGACTCAGTGCTGGCCAAGGTAATGTGGTGATGTTCTGTTGTTGGAGGTAACCTGTAACGATCCTGGCCCTGTGACATCTTGCGTTGTCATCCTGGAAGATGAAACGGCGGCCATGACGTCGTGCGAACGGCACAACATGGACTGCCAAGATGTTGTCCCAGTAGTACTGGCCTGTAACACGCCCTGCAACAACATGTAAAGCCGTTCTTCCAGCAACAGTGATGCCTCCCCACACCATAACAGAACCACCCCCAAATCGATCATGTCTGATGACGTTAACGTCTTGGAAGCGCTCGTTTCGACGACGCCACACCCTCCTACGTCTGTCCAAAAAATCAACAGTGAACCTTGACTCATCTGAAAACATCACATTGCTCCAGCGTCGATTATCCCAGTGTTGACGATCCCTACACCAACGACGTCTTGCCTGAATGTGATGATCTCTCAAACAAGGGATCACGCGAGGACGTCGGGCGTGAAGGTGACCCCTATGCAGTCGATTCCGAATCGTCTGGCCACTCACTCTCACACCAGTGTCTGTTTGAAGACGAGCGCTGATCTGATTTGCTGTGATGACACGATTTCTCAAGGCCAAGGTACGGATAAATCGATCCTGGGCTTGAGTTGTCGCCCTTGGTCGACCTGAGCGTGGTCTGTCCTGTACAGATTGTGTATCACGGTATCTGGACCATAGCCTGTTTATGACAGACTGAGAAACATTCATCGTCCGCGCCACAACCGCCTGTGTTGTGCCGATCTGTAGCATGCCAAGGGCACGTAACCTTTCATTTTGGGTAAGCCGACGCATATCAAAATTTGTTTTCTGGTCACTAAAACAATACAACTGATGTTTCCACCCTGGAATTCAATGCCACAATGACTGTAACATTCAAAGTCAGAGTCGTGCAAATCTTGGGTTGGACCCCCATGATGATCCCAAGCATCACCTGCATTCCATGCGGTAGCTATTGGTGCGTTTGGGCGTCACATGTAACTGGAAATGTTTCTTCTGTTAGGTTCTATAGTGACTTTTTTCGTAGTCATTTGCATATTTTAGTATTATGCCCCCAAAATCAAATATCCCCTACTTTTTTTGAATAGTATATATCAACTTATGCTACATATCAAGTCAACTTTATGACACATACAAAGTCAACTTTGTGGCATATATGTCAACTTATAAATTTCAAAGTCAATGTAATGCTTTATACCAAATTCAATTATAAGCCAATATACCGCCTATGTCAACTACAGTGGACTCTGTCAATGCCAACACTGTTCGGATCGATACAATATGCTGGATTACACACCGTGGTGGAATACTCAATTGCCTCAATACCGAAGTGTTATTGTTGTACCGACGAACACTGCACCCTTGAATACACAGAACTTAAAATATGATAACCCTTTCTGTACATTCTGTACGATCACACATTATGAACACAATATTATAGTGATAGTGATTCTTCATCTCGCCAATTTATAATAATGTTGCTATATTTGACGGGAGAAACTCAAATCAAATACCAAGCGCTCTCTTACAAGAGATTATAAAATTATCAAGGTTATCAACAAAGACCGACACGTTTCATGCTCCCAGATAATTGACTGGTGATTGCTTGTAGTAACACTCACTGATTGAAGGCCGTATTATCCATTGTTAATTAAATGCAAATCGTGTTACGAATATTCAGTATCTGGACTACTCAAAACTTTTTTGGGTTGAAATAATAAGGAAATAAATTGGGACATGAAAATGATGACGGAGTTGACAGAAAGCCGTACTATTCACATGTAGGAAGTGACAGACTCCACTATATATACCACACCAAAAGACATCTTTTTCAAAAATTTTTGCCTTTTATCAATGTCACCTACCTAAATTAACCTTAGCCTCTTCAAAGGCTATTAAATGCAATGTCACTTACCTAAATCAACCTTAGCCTCTTCAAAGGCTATTAAATGCATAGAAAGACTGTTTTTAACGGCTAATAGATCCGGTGATAGTTTACTGGCTGTAACCATACTGAGGGTTACCCGCCCTGTCTTCAGTTTTAACATTCCAAAATAATATCTCTTAGCTTGAACTGTTGAACCCGCTGATATAACCCTGTAATAATAATAATAATAATAATATTTCATAGCTTGAACTGTTGAAACAGTTGATATAACCCCGTAATAGTAATTATAATACCTCATAGCTTTAACTATTGAGATAATCAGGCACTGAGCCACCCAAGGCACTGACAACATATGCTTATTTTATTTGGATTCCTTAGATAATAATCAAACAAGTTTCCATTTTAATATAAGATTAATGATTAAACGATAAACTTGTTGTTGTGTATAAGATAAACAATAAACTTGTTGTCTTTTATAAAATAAACAATAAACTTGTTATTGTGCATAAAATAAACGATAAACTTGTTGCTGTGTATAATTAAGATAAACAATAAATTTGTTGTTGTGTATGACAAGATAAATAATAAACTTGTTGTCTTTTATAAGATAAATGATAAACTTGTTGCTGTCTTTTATAAACTTGTTGTTGTGCATTATAAACGATAATTTTCATGTGTATTATAAGATAAACTTGTTGTGCATTATAAATGATAAACTTGTTATGGTGAATTATAAGATAAACTTGTTGTGCATTATAGACGATAATCTTGTTATTGTGTATTATAAAATAAATGATAAAAAGATAAACTTACTGTTGTGTATCGTCATCTACTTTGGCCATATCGTGATTCGTGTCAGATTTATAACCAAAAAATGGCATCAGTTTCCATAGTAACCTCTCTTCTACTTGAATGGTTAACCTCTTCGTTGTTATAATCAGGTGCTTTTATCAAAACAAAAAAAAATAGACATCACAACCACAGTAAATTAAAGATAGGTTGCTAGGCAACAACACATACACCCATAGCAGCTAAGCCGTCCAAACTGTTCACAATACAAAATCTTATAGACAGTATAATATCATTTCAAGTGGTCTAGCGCTTTAATGCATGTGCATGGTTTCGATTCCCTGCTTGAACGTGCCAAGGAGTAGGATTGCCTGTCCAACCTCATGGATTTTCTGTGGTTTTCTTCCACTATTAAAGATTTCTATGCGCAACCGAATTATTGAAATTTTATTAGAACAGATTTAAATAATGGTTATCAACTATGCTTTTATCGAACAGTCTAATTTTTCATGGAAAATTAATTATTTAACGAAGATTCCACCCAACATGTAAAGGTGGCACTTTTTTTTTTTTATGTCACCAGAGGATGATGTCGAATGTTGCCAAATATTCCAGATATATATCTTTAAAATGTTTTTCCATATTGAGCAGTTCTAGTCTGTAGTTGTATTATCAGAGAAAGAGAGATAGGGTTTTACTTCCTTTCAATACAAACTAGGTCATTTCCAGGGCTGCCGACAACCAGTATCGCAGCGCAATTTGCGATACATATTTTGTCCGTTGCTAATCAAAAATTAAAATCTAACGTTTTTGATTCGCAGTAACTGCGAATCAATAATATGACTGTCATTTTGGATATTGACACAAAGATTTATTCACATTTCTCAACACTTTCAACGCGTATAAAATATCAAATAAATTTTATAAACAAAACGGAATTCTCCGTGTGACATTTTCTTCTCGAACTACCCAGACTCAATTCATGATACTATATAATACAGGGACATAACTCTATGAATCGGGACTATTAAACCGGAAATAGGGAATCAAGTAGTACCACTCACGTTGCGAGACATGTCAATTTCGAGTAATTATATCAGTATTGAATTTGAAAAAAAATAAATTCAGTGTATCCCCCACGTATTGTAAATAAAATATAAAAAATAAATATGTGTAAACGTATTGTAAAGTGAGAAATCAAAGTAAGAATTCCCGTAAACTATAATTGTTTATATCGCGTGCGTCTAGTTAATCGAGATTATTCGTAAAATACCGCGTGCTTCCGATTGAACAAAAATAATAACACACGATAAAAAGCAGACGAAATTGTTTTCTAACGAAGAAATAAGAAGCCACTGCCAAGAATTGGCTTCAGACATAAGGCCTAACAAAAGTCTACATTCATTCAGAAATGTTCACAGCTAGCTGTAGAAGTGCTAACATTCTAAAAAAATCTTAAGAATGAAATCTAATCATTTGCTATCAATTAAAATTAAAATAATCTTGTTATTTAGGTGTTTTATGTTGATTTGAAACTGAAAAACTGCTAATCAATTTTTAAATTTGCTAATCAAATTTGGCAAAATTGGACTTTTTGATTAGCAGTGCTGCTAATCATCTGTGAAAAATTACCGACAGCCCTGGTCATTTCAGGTACAATTCTAATTAAATAACCAGAGATAGCCAGATATATTTAAATAACTTACCTTGTATATTTCAGCATTCCATTTACCACTGGGTAATTTATGAGCAGAGATATACAGGGCTGGAGTATTATCAGGCCCTTCTCGTTGCTGCGTCTGGGTAACAAATAAAACAACCGGCCTCTGTGCTCCAAACATCTGATTATCAACCTTATGAAGGAGAAACAACAAACAAGCAATAAATGGTTAGAGTTAAATGATAAGCCAGCTAAATTTTTCATCATAGGTCATGATATGTGAACAGGGCTAGCGCTAATCCCAACCCTAACCTTAACCCTGGACCTAGTCCTAATGCTTACTCTAACACTAACCTACAATCTTGCCAACAATCGTGTACCTGGGATGAATTGTGGTACAATACAGTCACATTTTTTTGGCCCATCTGCTAGACCAGACACTTCTGTTTGTCTGATCTCTGTCATGCACATTCTGACAAAGAGAAACCAAATTAAATTAAATAAAAAAAAATCAACTTGTTTCAAAGAAATATGTAAAGATAATATAAATATTTACCTGTACCCCGGCTACGTTTATTTCAAGAGTGGTTAATGCAGGTGTTTTTAAAACTTCTAGAAAGATATTATTTAACTTGATATATACCAGTTCTTCAGGTACGTCATTAATCAATGAAATACCTAATCCTCCCTTTAATGACATGGTTACCTGTAACAAATAAACATTGTTGATATATCAATATATGGAAAAATGAAATGACATGAAATGAAGTTTAACATTCTACTGTTCTGCTCCCACAGGGCTAGTGAAGATGGGCATATTATGCCATACAATGTGTTATGAGGGACATTTTGCCTGAACAGCTGCGTTAAAGCCTACTCTTATACGATAATGTGTACACATGACCTTTGTTTTCCGTACCATCCATACGACTATACATTGTCCCTTGCCAGGTTTTTCTTCCATGCGAAACAAACTAGGTCATTTCGGGACTAACACATGGTTCAATTTTATTTCACTAATTCGCTTGTGCGTAGGGGTCTTTTTCAATGGAGGGAAACTGGAGGACTCGGAGAAAACAACATACAACCGAGGAATCTGATTCATCGAAAAAGGAACCTCCCAGTTAGTTAGCCAGTACCTTAGTGGCTCCCCAAGGACACTCTACACTTTCAATCCACAAGCAGGAGAGAGAGAGAGGTTTAAGTTCACTTGATACAAACCTGGGCCCTTATTCACGAAAACTTAAACTAAGATACAATCGAAATTTTAAGAAATACTGCAATTCGATTGGCTGACCAGTAAAATCAATTTGCATATATCCAATGAAGTTGCAGTATTTCTTAAAATTTCGGTTGTAACTTAGTTTAAGTTTTCGTGAATAAGGGCCCTGGTTATTTGGATATTTTGAGACTAACATATAGTTCAATTTTATTTCAATCAATTGCTTGCGCGTAGGGGTATTTAGCAGTGGAAGAAAACCAAAGGACGAAGAGAAAACCCACAAGGTTGGACAGGTGACCCTACTTCTTGTCAATAACAGGCCTTATGATACAATGTGCTCCCACTAATCATTCGACAATCCCTATCCCCCCACCCCCTCCAACAGGTAGGATGTTGACAGGAATTCTATTTTTTTTATATATATATATTACCTCTAGATGTGATGCTGTATATTTTGTCTCTTCATCGTTAGGGTTTGAAGGTCGATCAGCCATGTCGTAAACTTCCCAATCATTCATGTCACAACTCACACTCTTTACAACAACTTCCTATAAAATATTTAAATATTCATCAATCAGACATCTTTATTTATACATGTAGCTCATAAAAACACACGCTGTTATAATTTCTAGATGAATTGAGAATTAAGCACAACTGATCCTAAAATAAGTCAAAATACACAAACTGATCAATTTCCACTCAATTTTGTTACTATCTCTTTATTTACAATACAATTCCTACAAATATTCTCCTTAAAGATACATTATGGGAGATTAGATAAAGAGTTCACAGTTCTCACTATAATAGTTAAAAACTAGATAATGTAAATTGCTCCATTCTGAACCGAGATATTAGCTTTTGAATTTCAGACTAGCCTCGATCATCATTACTAAAGTCGGTATGATAAAAAACAGTCTTGATTATCCATGTTTACATTTAATTATTCCAATCCACTAAATATCACAGGCCACTGTAAGCCTTGTCGATACTTACCGTATGCCGTCTGTCAGCTATTTGTAAAACTCTGATTGGTCCATCCATAATAACTTGAACAGATAAACAACCAGAACCTGGGCGTAATTTCTGACGTGAAACCAACATATGGGCTGGAACGGGACAAGGATAGGATGGGGAATCAGGTAATTTAGGTACAAAGTTTGGACTAGGACCCAACACTGCTATAGCACCTACAAAATGAAAATTTACAAATAAATAATTACAATACACAGTTAGGGCTGATCAATATAAATTAAGGGACTTGATGAATATTCGGAAATTGAGGAATAGAATAAAATGAAATGAAATGGGGTTTAAAGTCCTACTGTTCTGCTCCGAACTGGGCTAATGAAGATGGGCATACACCATACAGTGTGCTATGAGGGAAATGTTTTACGACATCAGCGCTATGTCCACTTATTTCATCTTTTAACAGTCAAGGGATCTTGTTTTTGTCCCATCCAAACAACTAGACACTTTTTATAGCCACACAAATTAAGCAAAATAACAATAATTAAAATTACCAAACAAACAATCTTTAATTTAATTTTTCAGAAAAATAAATCTAATCTGATATTGTTTGTTCCAAAACACACCAAATCAATACAGAATATGATAGAAAGTAAATTAATTGATAGGTAAATTTTCTCTGGATGCCAGATATTCTGAAACAAAAGATTTTATTGGCTGAACTAATCAGGACAACTTATCAAGTGACAAACTTACCATCTTTTAACAAGTTGACTCCACCAAGAACTTGTACACACATTGGACCAGCTTGTGACATTAATCGACCATCCTACAATTTAAATGATGAACGAATTAAGTTAATTTTGGGACTAACATATTATACATGTAGGTTAACTGTATTTCAATAATTGGCTTGCATGTAAGGGTCTTTAGCAGTGGGAGGAAACCGAAGCACTCGGAGAAAACCCTACTCCTTGTCAATTACAAGCGGGGGTTCGAAACCACTCGGTCATCCAACCCCCTCCTACAATAAAAAAAAAATACTGTTATAAACTTATCTATAGTTACAAAAGGCCATGTCAGGCCTTGTAGTTGCCCCCAGTGGAAAAAAATTGGCGCCCCTAATAGATGCCCATTTGTGAAAAAAATGGCACCCATTCCATTGGATGCAATACAAAACCAATCAGCAACATGCGTCAAATTCACCAGGTGTGATAATTTTCACATTGCAAACAAGTCACACTCTAACCGATCCCGAACTTTTTGTTTTTTTCTAATAAATTATTATAGGTAGGTTGAAGTCGGATTCCTTCCTTCAAATTTTTATAATGTTCATATCCAAATATCATAATATGCCAATATCGAAAATACAGCCTCAAAATTGAAAATTTCCATCATCATAGTTCCGCTTCTCAGGAGCAAACCCTATTTTCCAAACTTTTTCTGGAGGAGAGCACCCTAGACGCATCTCTGAAGGGATGCACGTCCACGGTGCTGTTCGCAGAGTACCATCAAGTGTAGGTACATCTACCTACATTGCCCGGCCCATCCCCCCCCCACTATTTTTGGGCTAGCTACGGGCCTGCATGTTACATTAAATACTTCATCTTACAAATTTGTTTATATCAATTGTCAGAGTCATCTATTTCATCATTCAGAGAATTCGATTTACTTCAAAACTGAGCATATACATTCCTAAAACCCTTGGCACTAAAAACCTGGTGTTATAACTGCTTAAAAATAATTTTAAAATAATTAAAATTCTCTCTCAAATATCATAAATCCATCCTAGACATAGTGATCATGCTATAGACTATGGGTGTGAAAAATTGATTCAGCGAAATGGAATCCCCATTTTTTTGTAAGGGAGGGATTGCAGATGGTGGGTAGGGAGTGGGAGGCTCTGTATAGATCACAAATGGACAGATCCGCAGACAAACCGAATACGCTGAATGAAACTGACGATCAGATATTAATAAAAACCAGTATATATCAAAGATAATTAAAACAATTCAAATTACATCTGTAAATTTCCATGTCTGTGTTGATTTTCTTCGTTCATCAGCTTTACGTAAAATGAGTGGAACGATCTCCGTGGGTTGAGGTGCAATATCTAATATATCTAACACAAGGCCACGTGGACGTGATTTAGCTGGTTCTGATGGTGGCATGGAACCATAATGTTCTAGCATCCCATCACTTGTCATACGCCACATCTGGGATCTTTTATCCTTCTCCTGTAAAGAAACAAACAATTCTTTTAGTCCTTTCTCTATTTAAAGATAGGTTGCCAGGTAACGATACATACGCCTACAGCCACTAAATCGTCCGAGTGGTCGACAAAGGAGGTCGCATATTTATTCTTTGTTGTAGGTGATGGGCGGTGGGTGGGGGCATTTAAATGACCATTTCATCCAATTCAGGTTATAATATTCATTGTTTGAGTCTGTAGAGTGTTCACAAGAAATTGTGGACGATGGGTGACCGCAATATATGACCATATTTCCATGCGGGCGTATAAAAATTGGAGGGTTTTTGAATGGTCTAACGTAAATGCTGAAGATTGTAAGGTCTTTCACTATGTTAAACCCCTTTACTGATAGTTATATTGATGCAATACATGTGGAATACGCCAATAAACTTTTTTTATAAGGGATGAATACAAAAGGTTGACACTGCAAATACATAAAAATAGAATAAATTGTTTAAAGGAGCTAAATCGGTAATATTTGGACCTAGAAATTGGCACAAATGGATCGCAACGCATATAACAATGTAATATGAATGTATATAAACTGATTTAAATTCAATCATTTCTGTTTTTACTGCAATTTCTAATCAGTTATGTTCGGCGAAATACACCAGAAATCTCAATTGAATGGCAAGCTCTAGCGTCTGGTTATTCCAGTCTACACCGATTGTATTTAATTGTGCATGCTCTCCAGATAAGAATATATCGTCACCGTTAGACATGACTTGTGGAATATGTCTAGCCCCGTTCTTTGAGTGCCTTGTTACAAATGGCGCTGAAATGCATTATCGTACACGATTCGTGTACCAATGGTAAAATGTTTATTTTGTCTTAAATATTGGATATCTGAAGACCATATTTTTCCGGTAAGATCACAACATCAGTGTTGATTTAAATTGACAAATAATTATCCTAAACTAAAGAAGAGTTGACTGACCTTGAGTTTAAATATAATATGATTTAACTCACCTTGCGTTTAAATATGATATGATTTTCAGTTGTACTGTCTAACACCAGTTCTCTATCACTTGAAACAGGTCTGTATTTATATAAATCAAATTATCCAGTTAGATAATATTCCATTACACATGGAATCATAAAAATGGCTATAGAGAAGAGCTTTCATTTCCAAATTTGGAAAGTTGGTTAATTTGTGACACCAAGTTTGTTAACTTTGGATTAGCAATGTATTTTTAAAAAAAAAAAAATAGTTAGTGATCATCCCACTTTTAAACCGATTTTACACATAAAATCTATGATTGATTTTTTTTTAAAATTTGAGAGAGAGATGAGGTTTAACGTCCACTCGAAACAAACTAGGTCATTTTAGGACTAACACACGGTGCAATTTTATTTCCATAATTCGCTCGCATGTAGGAGTCTTTCAGAGGTGGAAGGAAACCGGAGGACCCAGAGAAACCCATGATGTTGGACAAGCATCCTGCTCCTTGAAACCACACCAGTTGACTCAATGACAGACCTTATGATACAGTGCGCACAAGCTAACCATTCGGCCATCCCCCCCTCCCCCTTTACAATTTGAACTAGCAAAATATTCTTCTAAAGAAATGAAATGAAATGGGGTTTAACGTCCTACTGTTCTGTTCTGAAATGGGCTAATGAAGACGGGCATACACCATACAGTGTGCTATGAGGGAAATTTTGCCTGGACAGCGGCACTAAGACCTACTTTTATAACAAATTCCAACTGGCAAGGGATGTGTTACGTGCACGCCAATGTGTAACCCCAATGTGTACACTGGACCTTGGTTTTTTGTCCCATCCGATCTACTAATTCTTCTAAAGAAAATAACAGTTTTTAGCATTTTTGAAATATACATTTAACTGATTTCTATGTATAAAAATGCAATGCATCATACCTGTTAAATGTATGTGTAGCTGCCAGATAAATATAATTTTCATAGTTTAACTGGGTTCCCTCCCCTAGTTTATTTAAATTATAGGTGGCAGTCATACCACCTGGTATCTGTAGACTTAAAGATGGTTCTAGGATAGGTTCATCCCATGCATATAAAACTGAAATAAAATAATACATAAGTTATATTCAGGGATGTAACTAGCTCAGAGCAACAAGGGGGGTGGGAAGTGTTTTCAGGGGGTGCTGTAAAATTGACGGACAATGTATATCTATTGTTTTTATGGTCGACAATTTTTTCATGGGGGGGGGGGGGGAAACTTTTTGCAGGGCTTTGCCCCCCCTGTGTCCCCCCCCCCCCCCGAGTTACGGGCCTGGTTATATTATTGTTATTCTGTTTTCATTCATAGTGAAGCCTATATCACTGCAAGTTCGGGTCTGTATAGCACAGTGGTACAGGCTGCACTAAAATTCACCAAAAATAATGTCTATGTATCTGTGGGATTGGTCATACAGTACAGTGGATGTTTACATATCACCAGCCCCTTAAGTGTGGTTTAATGGTCTTGAGCTTAAGACATTGCGTTATATATTGAATCAACACGAGTGACCTTAATCCTGAGCTGTTGTTTCAATATATTACGCTATGTCTTAGGCACGAAACCATAAAACAACTTAAAATACAGATACTCGCACGTGCTTTGCAATGAAATACGCCACACGGATTCAAAATTTCAACTAGTATAAATAATGAACATTGCCCATACCACTATTTGAAATAATGTTACGTGAACATCAAAGGATAACGTCACATCTGTATTTTAATTGGAATTATTCATTACATTGGATATACGTTTGCATATGTACTATATATGCCTGTATAAATCTTGTCACCTGAGTTATATGTATGTAATATATACCTGTATAAATCTAGCTTGTTACCTGAGGTATATGTACTATATATACCTGTATAAATCTTGTTACCTGAGTTATATATATGTACTATATACCTGTGTAAATCTTGTCACCTGAGCTATATGTACTATACATGTATAAATCTAGCTAGTTACCTGAGGTATTTGGTCGTAGAAGTGTTTGTAGTCGATCATCTGTTATTTCTGTCTGATAAAATTTTACTGGGATCTAGACGAGATAAAAAACGAAATGAAATCTGGTTTAACGTCCTACTTTTCGACTCCTACTAGGCTAAGGAAGACGGTAACCAAGAAGAAAAACACTCGTTTTAGTAACATATTTAATATTTTGTAACAGTAGAACTAATTGCCTATTAAATCTATGTAGAAATCAGACACTGCCAATATTCAGTGCCTAGTTTAAGTGGCAAGTAGGCAGTGGGTAGATCGTGTCTATCCAGTCTTAAAGGTTACTAGAAAAGCTTCAAATTTTTTGAATAATTCAAGTAATTATGTCAAGATATCCTTTCTATAAGTATAACACGAACCCGAATGTCAATATTACCTACAGCGTTAGTAATTTCTGCCGTTCTCCGTGAGTAGTCGTAACTTTCCATCAATAAACAATCTATGACATCATTTTAGTCCTTCTGCTCATATTCTAGTCTATATGCAGGTAATATTGACATTCAGGTTCATGTCATACTTATGGATACAATATGTTGACACAATTACTTGCATTATTTAAAAAAAATTTGAAGCTTTCAGGTGACCTTTAAATGAGAATGAATAACCAGTCGTTTCTTACACAGGATGGAATACCTGTAATCATAACACACCAAAGAAAGATTATCCAGTCATCATAAAATACAATAAAAAGGATTGTCCAGTTGTTACTTCCAAAATAAAGATTGTCCAGTTGTTATTTCCAAGAGAAAAATTACTGAGCAAGATGATCCAGTCATTACTTACAGGAGAAAGATTATCCAGTCTAAAAGGAGGAGGCATAGTTTCAGCATCAGCGAGAACAATAAAGAAAGTTGGTCCTTGTAGAATTATCTCCACCTTCAATAATAAACATCGTCCTTCACTGTCCCTACAAAAACAGAAATAAAACCTCGACTTTATATAACATTGGCTTTATCGAAGAATGTTAAACTTTGATCGAATTGAAAGGAAGATTATTTTTTTACACAAATAATTTGATTATAGACAGACGGATAAATGTGTGGCGGTGGAAAAAATAAATAGTCAGTCTCAAAATAAGTACCTGTAAAATAAGTGCAGTCACTACATACAGTTGGTCTCAGAGACAGAAATGGGGTTTAACGTCCACTCGACACAAACTAGGTCATTTCGGGACTAACATATGGTTTAATTTTATTTCAATAATTCGCTTGTGCGTAGGGGTCTTTAGCAGTGGGAGGAAACCGGAGACCCGGAGAAAACCCACGAGATTGGACAGGCGACCCTACTCCTTGTCACGTACAACCAGGGATTCGAAACCACGCCAGTTGACTCAATGACAGGCCTTATGATACAGCACGCACGTGCTGACCATTAGGCCATCCACCCCCCCTCAGTCGGTCTCAAACTTACGCATCAATCAAACCTGAAAATAAGGCACCTGTCAGTGTTAAAGATAATGTCAGACACAGATTCAGGCTTTGTCGGGCACAAAACCACTGGTGCCTCTCATTTTGTCCGACACTGATTTATCTTTTTTTTTTTATATTTTTAATACATGGGACATCGATTTTATGTGTCATCCGAACGACTAGACAGCTGTCCTTGTCAAGCCCTACGTCCTGCACCACTGACAGGGAGAAACCACGCCAGAAAATCCTGATAACTTTCTCAGCCATTGCAGGGATCGACCACGTGATATCCAGGCTGGCGATCCAACATCTTACCCACCATTGCTCCATCAAAATCAGGAAACTTTGGATGATTTTAAATTATTTTTTACAAATTTTTAAACAAAGATTTGATATTAAAAGAATGTAAGAGAAATTGGTGGTAAATACACAAGGTTGAATGGTACCCAGGTTACAGTGCTATATGTACCTCATATTAACATGGAATGATTTACTCTTGTCTACACAGAATCCACCGGACCACTGACAGGTTGGTATATCCATGATCCGGATACATAATAACTGATCCAGATCCATCCTCGGCCAATGATACGGTAGTTTAGATTTAGGTAAGGTTGTCAAGAACGTATTTTCACTGTTCTGAAAAATACAAACAACAAAAGCATATTTATTGAGTGTTGAGTAAGGCTGGGAATCGATATGAAATTTCAATATCGATTATCGGCAAGAATTTGTCAGCGATTATCGATAATAATCGATTATCATTCTTCCGGAAAAACGGAACTTTACCGACCTGTTATTTGTGTTGATCGAGTTACAGTAGTGTTATTATCCTAGTCTATTACTGTGCCGATGTACGTAAAAAAATCAATTAATGTAAAATAATTAGTTGCTAAATGTAGGATTAACTTAAGTATTATTCTAAGTTTTGTTCTTGATTCATTTGAACCTTTTTTTATTCCAATATCTCCGATAAATACAAAGACAATACATGGTTTCTCTTTGCAAGTTACTGGCGATCACACAGTGTTACTAATAATAGAATAAAATATAATAGAAGGCGTCTATTGATTGGACAATAAAAAAATAAATACCGGCTTTCAAAGTATAATTTTTATGATTGGTTAATTTTGACGAAAACCAAAGTAGAATTCTTCCAAGAAATTACGAGAGATATAGATATTTTCCCGGGAAGTCAAAAACATGTTTTGTATGGGCTGTATCTGACATGAGTTAGTAATAAAAGCTGAGTTGATCATTAATAATACAATTAGTTTTATCGTGAAAGCAGACAATTTCACTACAAACCAATCAAGAGCAAAGAAGGGAGATAATTCTAATTTTACTATATCACGTGCGATCGTCATTGTTCACAAAGTGCGTGACCTATTTTAGTTTCAACTAGTAATAACAACAAAAACAACGAAAATATTAAAATAATGTATTTTATCTTAAAGTTTAGTTTTTTTACAATAATATATATTTAAAATGTGCCAGTTTGTAAGCAGAGGGGGAAAATAGTTGTTGTGTTGACGTTGTGTATTCGTTCATTCGTCTGCATGCCAGACTACGGCAAGTTCAGTCATGTGAAAGTGACCGTAACTTGCCGTCAGAAGGTAAATATACCGATAATCGATATTTGAATTTCAATATCGATTATCGTATCGCTAAATAACATCTACCGATTATCGATTATATCGATATTTTTGCACAGCCTTAGTGTTGAGTGTTTGTTAGTGTTGGATCAATCTGAATAAAACACAGATCCTATTTAGTTTCGTGTTTTATAGTTCAAAATTTTGTTTTATTACACTGGGATCTGGAAGAGTTGTTTATCACCTGCGTTCTAGATGATGTAAGGGATTAGGTAAAAGAAACAGTCTGTTAAGGCAACTTCTTGGCGTGCTGTACAGTGTACACAGAACTGTGGTTAAACCACTAGAAGTGTCAACGTTAATTGATTAATCATATGACCCCTGACACGACCTCCCACTACAACTTGTCACATCTTCATGTAGTAGAGGCCGTCAACGAAATTATATATAGATCTGTATTTTAATCAGATTGGTACTGGATCAATGTTTTGATGAGCCTGTAATTTAATCTGAATGAATCCAAGCCCGGAGGATTATCTAACTTTGATATTTGGGGTTTACTTTCTTAATCAGAAGTTAAATAATCAACTTGAGTAGAATTAAATCTTGAAAAATTCGATATAGCCCGAAATATCAGAATTAGTAAATTTTTAGTAAAGACCCAAGTCGACTTTTGTCGACAACTATAACGTTACCGTTAAGTACCCACAGTGACTTTTATCGATGAAACCGGTTAGCCAAATACAACGTTCCTAGCGTGATTTTTTGTAAAAACACCTATATTGACACCCATAATGTTACCGTTAAGTACCAACAGCGACTTTTATCGACAAAACCATTTAGCTGAATGCAATGTTCCTAGCGTAATAAAAGTTACATCCCTTATAAACCGATAACTTTCACTCGTTTGTTTACTTCCTGTTTGACATTTTGATAGTTAAAAGTCGTACTGATAATAAAAACAATGATATTGACTAGGCCTACACAAAAATATTCTCCTAATCACGGATTACCATTATGACATGTTTTTTATGATGTTATGACGGGAAACCACTGGGTCACTTAAACATACATTATGCAAGAGCTAAATCTGCCTTTTGTGAAGGATGATCAAACATAAAAATGGATAATCAAGACTTTAGTAATGATGATCGAGGTAAGGCCTAGAATTCAAAAGCTAATATCTCGGTTCAGAAAGGAGCAATCTAACTGAAATTTTCAGCATATTCTATTTACGATATCTATTGTTTAACTATTATAGGAAGAACTGTCAACGTTTTATCTAATCTCTCATAATTCCCCTTTAAAAGTTAAACCTTAAAAAGTTAGATATCTTCTGTGAAATGTAAGACTAGTCACTGTAATGATTTTGATGAAAACAGTATGAACGGAATTATAACACAACTTACTCCATTATTGATGAGATATTTCTGTGCGATAGCTAACTTGTGATGTGATTGGTTATCTATCTCATAACGTGGAGCTATCGTTATTATTTTCGTATCTGCAAATTTACCAATTCCCTTCGTAATCTGGTAACCAATGTTATAAACCCTAAAAAAAAAAAATTAATAATTTTCATATTAATGATCAAAAGATAAAATAATGTTCTGTCTCTGCCACAAGTTTTAACTTCCAACCGGACGACAAATCATTCATTTATTATTTCATATTCACTTCTTAAATCTTAAATACGATTTTAAAAACAAATAAGGTGGTCAAACAACTTTAGGTCTGTAATTTCTTTTAGATTTATGTATAAAGATGCTTCCTTAGTTATATTCCAGTAATTATTGGTTACGTTTTTGTAAAAACCATCTTCTCATATCCTAATTAGCAAATTTTCAGTGATATTTTTTTTAACATAGTAGGCCTAATACTGTGAGATATTAAATATTAAAACAAATATTCAAAAAATATAAAATATACTGTACAAAAAATAAAATATACAAAAATAATATATAAAAATTAAAATATACAAAAAATAAAATAAAACAGAAACAATAAATAAACAGGAAATAAACAAAATATGTACAAAACAAAAAAAAACTATTTATATGATTCAGAATTTTATAGTTTTTTCGGTTTTTGAATTTTATGAAAATCAGGACAACAGTGTGAATATATCGTACAATTGGTTTGATTTCTACCTGTTCAGATTACATGAGAATCGTGGTGGGACATATTTTTATCTGAATATCCGTCCATAATTTGGTTGAAGTATTTTCATTATTCACAAAAATTTGATAAACCGAAAAATCTGGCATCTCCTTTAGTCCATGCCAGGAATCAAACTTGGCATAGTCTAGTCAAGTCGCTGCGCTAGTGTCTTTACGAGTTGACTACCAGTATCATTGCAGGGACCTATCCTTAATTATGAATATTCAGGACAGGTTTCTTATGACTTGACTACGATGGTGCCATTAGTCCTCAAGAGTCTAGTGCCCCCATGACTTGACTACTGTGGCATTATCATTAATTATGTATATTCTAGCTAGTCAAATAGGACAGTGCCTCTAACTAACATGACCCTATCATCAATTATGTATACACTAGTTATGAAGAGGTCAGTGTCCTTCCGACTTGACTACCATATGATCCTATCAAAAATTATGGATATTCAACAAGACTACCACTGTGCCATCATTAATTATGAATATCCCACTTGACTATCATGGTGACATCATTAAATATTGATATTCCCAGATTTAAGTTTAACATAAGAAAAAGCATCCAGAATAGGAGATGAAACAAAAAATAAATTTAGAAGCGAAACAAAAAATGAGTGACAAGAATGTGCGAAAAAAATTCAATAACATAAATTCGTAAAAATTGAATTGAAATTTAACCATTTGTTGTTGATAGTACAGTAAAGCACATACTATAATCCCCAACTAAAATATTAGGCTGATTAAAACTATAATATTATATTATATTATATTCCCGAACTACAAATAATTTATTTTGTAAAAATAAAAGTTTCTAAGTTAGAGCTAGCATTACTTTTATTGTGAAGTACTTAAAGGAGCTAAATCTCTATTCTTTGGCACCTAGAAATGGACAGACACAAATGGGTCGCAACGCATGTATTAATGTAATATGAATGTATATAAACTGATTTACATTCAATCGTTTTTGATTTTACTGTAATTTCTAATCAGTTATGCGGGGTATGTTTAGCCTCGCTCATTACAAATGGCACTCAAAAGCATTCTGGGACGCTATTCATGTGCTTATTTTAAAATTTTCATTTTGTATTAAATATTGGATATCAGAAGCCCATCTTTTGACGGTAAGATAACAACATCAATGTTGATTTGAATTGACCAATAAGTTGTGTTTGCAATGTCGAAAACTGTGGATAATATTGAGTTAAAATTTGCCTCTTTTAAACAGATTCAACAAGAAACTCTGGTTGGTAGCTATAGTTTGATTGGTAGCTATTAGATTCAGAGAGAACTAAAAGAGAACTACACTATTTTTACAAGCAGTCTAGTAGCCCTATCAAGTAAACTATATAGAGGGAAACAGATTTTATTTCGCAGGTATTTTCTAGATATTATGATATTTTGAATGGTATTTTCTAGACTTTATGATATTTTGAATGGTATTTTCTAGACTTTATGATATTTTGAATGGTATTTTCTAGATTTTATTATATTTTTTAAGTTATTTTCTAGACTTTAAGATATTTTGAAGGTATTTTCTAGACTTTATGATATTCTGAATGGTATTTTCTAGACTTTATGATATTTTGAAGGTATTTTTTAGACTTTATGATATTTTGAATGGTATTTTCTAGACTTTATGATATTTTGAAGGTATCTTTTAGACTTTGTGATATTTTGAAGGTATTTTTTAGACTTTATGATATTTTTAATGGTAATTATATGGAGAAGTTGAATGACCCTTACAAGCAGTCAAGCAACCCTAGAGATTATACTAGAGGCAAACATGTTTATCTTCTCTTGGATAATAAGAGAAGACAAATTTTATTTTGATGGACTTTCCTAATCTTATATTTTGAACGATGTTATGTATATAAATTAAAAAAGATATATATATATTTACAAATGTCGACCAGTATTTCGAAGACTGTAAGAATTCTAAGACGATGGTAAAAGACTGAACAATTTGCTTTCACTTAACCCTGTGCATGTTATTCAAAAGAAGATTTCCAACAAAGCATAGCGACAATTTCTGAGAATGCATTCTTGTCTGGACATCACTTTATCTCCCCCCCCCCTCCACCTACAATCCCCATTGGATTACGATAAATTGTATTAGTGAAACTAGTTAAATGATAATTTGAATGTAATAGTTATTTATGTACAGAACCCATGAGAAGCCCATTTAATTACATTTTAGTTGCATGATGTCATGTTATATACTCCCATTATTGTTTTTACTTTTGAAAAGCGGGACCCAATCTGATTAAAATACAGACCTATATTTCGTTCTGTTTTTTACTTTCGATAGCCTACACTACATGAAAATCTGACAAGTTATAGCGATAGGTCACGTCAGAGGTCATACGAGCTCTTTTTGACCCTATGATGTCAGACATTTGATTAGCCAATCATTGTTAAGGTTTTAGTAGGTTACCCACAGTTCCGTACATCTCACGCCAAAAACTCGCCGTAACAGAACGTTTCATTGACTAATCCCTCACATCATCCAGAACGTGGGTTATATAACAACTCTTCCAGATCTTAGTGTAGTAAAGACAAGTAAAACGAAATTTTGAACTATAAAAAACAAAACGAAATAGTATCTGTGTTTTAATCAGATTGAGCTGGACCTATATTTTTATGTATAACCATGTTAAATACGCTTTTTATATAAGAATTATAATTAATTGATATTAATGGGGGACCTCGATCTGTTCATCCCAATCTACCAGTGCTGAACATTTTACTACAAGTTAGAAAGACTACGATAAATATACATTACCCATAATGCACAAATCCAAATACCCGACACCGAGAGATAATGCCAGAATGTCAATCAAAGGAACGACCCGCCCCCCGACCGCAACTTACTGTATCTCATTGGGTAATTGTAATAATAACTTTAGTCGCGCCTGTGTCTGTAGATCTACTAACCAATCAGGACGATTCGTGTGTCTCTGTACAACATGAAGCTGGCGTGTTCCGGATCCATTTTCTAACGATATTTTATTACACCTGAAGCAAAAAAAACCAATCCCAATTTAACATCTCGTAGATATTTTAGACATTTTGAGACTAACAAATATTATTTTATGTTCTATAAAATCCATGTGCAAATCAAGCAGATGAGTTCATATCTTTGACCACCTGAAAGTTTCACAGTCTGTCTATACACTGCGATCCTCTGACTGTTGTTGTCAAGGTATCTGAACGTAAATAAGTGAAGGAATTGGCTGTGCGTATTGTCTGCACTACAACATTGCTTTCTTCGTTTATCTCAAAGGATTCACACGACAACATGGATCTCGAAACCATGCCAGCTGACTCAATGACAGACTTTATTCTGCAACGCGCAGGCGCTAACTATTATTTAGCCACAAATTATGCAAGAACTAATTCTGCCTATTGCATGTGTTTCTTTCGGCCTTAAATGCTATCTAAATTATTAATTATAAATTAATCAACTTATCAAGCCCATAGTCAATTGGATTGGATCAGCCATATTTTGATTTAATTTAAAAAATGGAGAAGTGGGGCTTAGCTTCAAACAACAAGTACAGTGGTTACAATTAATGCACACATCTCGTCAAACCTTCAAAGGCTAATAACTTCATTCACAACAGAGTAATTTGAATGAAATATTCAATATTTTCAGTATCTATTTTGGAACTATTATGGCAAGAATGGCTAGCTCTTTTTCTAGCTATTATAGCATGAATGGCTAGCTCTTTATCTAAATCTTACATTTATTATTTAACCTTTATAAACATGTAAAGACAAGATCTTACCATTGAGGAAGGGCTTCCGCTCCATGATGTCTCTTCCCCAGTCGAATACAAACTCTTAGAGAATAAAAATATATATAAATGTTACATTAGAACATTGGAGATGAAGACAAAAACAGATGTGGAAAAAATGGAGAAAAATTTCACAAGATTTTGTTATCATTGGCAGTAAATAAAATAAATAAAAGGAAACATATTTCTGAATAAACGACTGGAACCAAAATGTTTGATTTCTATGACGATTTTCAATTGAACCTTCAGGAAAACAGAATTCTCTATATTCTATATATGAAATGAAATGAAATGAAATGAAATGGGGTTTAACGTCCTACTGTTCTGCTCCGAACTGGGCTAATAAAGACGGGCATACGCCATACAGTGTGCTATGAAGGGGAAATTTTGCCAGGACAGCGGCACTATGGCCTACTCTTATATCGAATTCCAACTGTCAAGGGATCGTTTACGTGCATGCCAACGTGTACACAGGACCTCGGTTTTTTTGTCTCATCTGAACGACTAGACGGCTGTCCTTCTCAGGCCCTCCAATCTCCACCACTGACAAGGCGAACCATATCGGAAAATCCCGATGAACTTTCTTGGCCAGTGCTGGGATCTAATACGCAACCTCCAGGCTAGCGAGCCAGCAACCTACTCACTTAGCCACTGTGGCTCCCAGTCTTAGTAAGAATGATTAAGATCTTAAAACCACCGACAACTTACAGATTGGGTTCATCCTTTTCATAGTAACTAAAGAGTAGCGGTGTTACACTTCTGGCTATCTCATGTTCTTCAAATTGTCCGGCAGCATCAGTTTTTGATCCTTCTTGTTTAAAGATGAGAGGTAGACCCGATTTATTCAATAACCAATACGGAGCAGATATTGATAACTACAAAAACAATCAATTTATTTATTGGTTATTGATTCTAAGAAACAGACACATTTATGACAATCAAATATTCATAAATATTGAATAAAGTACAAAATGTAGAATTATAATATGATATCATGAACAATCATCTTTTTAAGGATAACCCTCTATATGGCTATAGATCCGAGTGAGGGCGTTCAAGTCAGAGGTCATATGTCACCCGCTCCCACCAAACCAGGCGCTTGGCGCACAACTTCATTTTGAACTGTATGCCTTCTTGTTGCTATGAATGAGCCGAACTCAACTCCAGATGATATGACAAATTTAAAAAAAATCATATTTTTGGAAAGCTTAGGCTGTGGACTATTCAAATATGCTGCCAGCTCTATTTTTATAAAAATGACCAAGAGCCTGGTTTTGTGGGAGGGGGTCACATATAGGTTAACTTTGATTGGAATAGAGAATCAACAAATTCTGAATAAAGCCGGAATAAAGGACACTGGGATATGAATTCTTGCAAAATCTAACTTTAATTGCTTGGGTGTTTATTTTAGCTCTACCTTTTCATCCTAAGCTAAATGTATTTTTTTGTGATCTTTGTTCCTCTACCTTATATCTGAAAGGATTGCTGTCAAACTAACAAATCTTATGAAATATATAAAATATTATAACAACAATACCTTTAATTGTAATTAGATTTTTTTTTGTGAACGTAGAGGGGTGGTATAAGCCTAGCCATACTCCTAGCAGTGTTTCGTTTCATTATACCTAATCCCACTAATCACTGCTTTAACGAAAGCAAATTTCTGTTCTAAATTATGACTGGTCAATGGTCCGATTAACAACCAATAGCTAACTGTGTTACAAAAGCGTTACGCTTAAAACAGAGCTCCAAATTGGACCAAATATGTTTACATAACGTTACATCATGACTCACGCTTTTAATAATCCCAATTAACCAGTGCATAGCAGAATATTGCAGAAAAACTCATTGCATGACAAACGCGGTCATCAAATCGAAAACAATGTAAACAATACTGTTTGGAGACGAACATACTTTCACCGTTTTTAATACCTTAAATCACTGTCCAAAGTTTTAGGGAAGACCCAGATTAAACTAAGGGCTGTCATGTTGCTGTACTTGGGATAGATTTGATTGAACGGGAAGAATAGACACACTCCCTATCAAGTATCAGAAGCCAATCCAGCAATGGCCAGAGAGGGATTTCTTGGGCCATTGCTTCTGGAATATGAAGCCTAGCCTGTTCCCCAATCCTTTTCTTATTGAATAAAAATATAGCTTAAAAAAACAAACGACATTACCTTTACATTTCCACTTTTACCAGTAATAATTCGAACACCTAAATCTAGTCGTCGATTCTTCTTATCATAAATACGCAGACGCACAAAATAATTATATGTCTTCGGTGGGATCGTTAATTCTTGACATTTCTCAAAATTCTCTAAGTTGATCCCAATTTCAAAATCTTTCGTTACATCTGCCTGAAAATTCAAGAGTATAAGAAATAAATCTGACCGCTAAAACAATTCTCAAATTCCTTCCCATCACCTTCTAGAAATATTAGCTTTACAGAAAAAAAAAGCATTCATCTGTAAGCTCATTATTTCTTTCATGTTTTCATTGCTATGGTTACGTATACAATTTCAAGTGACAGAAGTTTCCAGTAATGGAAAGATTTAACCCTGAAGATCTGAGACTGTGAAAACTTGACTAACGTTAGTTTCAAATCCTAGTTGATAAAGACCCATTTATTTTGGATGGATTTGGTGCTCTACAAGTGTAGGCCTAAATTATAATTATTTATAGACTCATTGTCACTTTAACCCAACTCCTGGATATGCTAAAATATATCTATATTTTTTGTGACTGTCGTTTGTCTGTTTGTTCCTCACGGTTGGTGTTTGTGGTATAATGGTATCTGAGCCTGGCAGTGATACAAGCCTGGTTCTGGGCAACCCTAAATAACCATGATTTAAAACACGGCAACACTCCCTTAAAAGACTAGTAGAGGCTGGACATGCCAGAGATGGGGTTTAACGTCCATTTGACACAAGCAAGGTCATTTCGGGACTAAAGTACATATTTCAATAATTCGCTTGTAGAGGTCTTTAGCAGTGGGAGGAAACCGGTGGATCTGGAGAAAACCCACAAGATTGGACAGGCAACCCTACTTCTTGTCATGTAAAACCACAGAATCCAAACCACGCCAGTTGACTCAATGAAAGACCTTAACTTCCACTCGACACAAACTAGATCATTTTGGGACTAACCTATGGTTCAATCTTATTTCAATAATTCACATGCGCGTATGGGTCTTTAGAAGTGGGAGAAAATCGGTGGACCTGGAGAAAACCCAAGAGGTTGGACAGACGACCCTACTTCTTGTCATGTACCATCGGGGAGGGGATCACGTGGCTAAGTGGGTAAGACGCTGGCTCGCTAGCCTGGAGGTCGGGTGTTCGATCCCTGCATTGGCCGAGAAAGTTCATCCAGATATTCCGGCGTGGTTCCCCCTTGTCAGTGATGCAGGACGGAGGGCCTGACAAGGACAGCTGTCTAGTCCTTTGGATGAGACGAAAAACCGAGGACGCGTGTATACATTGGAATGCACGTAAAAGATCCCTTGGAATTCGATAGTGTCGCTGCCCGGGCAAAATTTCCCTCATAGCACACTGTATGGCGTATGCCCGTCTTCATTAGCCCAGCATAGGAGCAGAAAAGTAGGACGGTAAACCCCATTTCATTTCATTTCACCATCGGGGAATCGAAACCAGCTAGTTGACTCAATGAAAGACCTTAACTTCCACTTCCACTAGATTAATTTGGGACTAACATATGGTTTAAATATATTTCAATAATTCGCTTGCGTGTAGATGTCTTTCGCAGTGGGAGGAAACCGGAGGACCCGGAGAAAAGCCACGAGGTTGGACAAGCCAACACTGGCGGAGAGCGTAGTTCTTTATATAACTATAATGATTTATTTGTACTTACTGCATGTATATTTGCTTCTTTCCCTGCCTTTAAACTACCTGAGATATCTGTGTTTTTAACGTAATACATTAACTCGATAGGAATTAAACTTTTAATAATCAAGGGAGGTAATATATAGATGGCGTGTCCAGGTAACGTAGCAAATGTATCAATGTCCAGATCAAGTTCTGCTGCTACTTCTTCTTTTGTGGGATAATTCTCGCGTTGTACACAGACACAAAATCTGAAAACAAGATACAATAAACAAAAAAATTGAAAGTTATCATTTCATATCTGTAAGTCATGACTGGGTTTGCAGGAGAACTGGAACCCCCCATGACAACCAAACTAGACCATTTCAGAACTAACATATGGTTCAATTATTAGAGGTCTTTAGCATTGGGAGGAAACTGGAGGACCAGGAGAAAACCAGCAAACGAGCATGCGTTAAACCATTCCACCACCCAATCCCACCAGACAATCAAAGAGAAACTCAGACAATAATGACATACGAGACCCGAGACTCGGTAAAAGCTGTCTCAACCAGTCAAAAAACAAGTGCGACTTACTGCAAATAACTGTGGGGATTTAATATAATTTTGGCTTAACTCCTAATAAAGACTTGACTCACCTGTAAATACCTGATAAAGACTTGACTCACCTGTAAATACCTGCGCCTTGTATTGGATCACATTGTTTGATACCATTCGATACTTCACCCTTACATAATACATGCTCCCATTGGATTGGCTGATCACAGAAATTCAACGAAAGTTCTAATGGTCGGGCCCACAGCCGATCATAAACACGAGAGAGAGGTAAAGCTGTAGGAACGTTCGGTAAAATGTTTAAACATTCATATTGACCTGAAGAGAAAGAAAAATTAAATGAAATGAAATAGGGTTTAACGTATGCTATGAGGGAAATTTTGCCCGTGTGGCGGCACTATGGCCTATTCTTATATAGAATTCCAACTGCCAAGGGATCTTTTACGTGCACGCCAATGTATACACAAGACCTCAGCTTTTCGTCCCATCCGAACAACTAGACAGCTGTCCTTGTCAGGCCCTCCGTCTGGTATCACTGACATGGAGAAATCACGTCGGCAAATCCCGATGAAACTTTCTCTGCCAATGCAGGGATGAAACAAGTGACCTGTAGGCTAGCAAGCCATCGTCTTATCCACTTAGTCACTATGATATCAAAGAAAAGGAAAAACAATGAATAAATACAGTGAAATCAAAACTTCCTTGATTTTGAGACCCAGTGGATTAATTTTTGTCACCAATGTCATATACTCCATTACTAAACCAACTTATTCAAGAATAGAGAGAATAGAGAGAAAGTGAAAGTGAGAGAGTTTAACATTAACTCCGTTTGACACAAACTATGTCATTTCGGGAATTTACATAATATGTTGACGAGGTTAAGCAGGCGACCCTACTCCTTGTCGCATACAACCGGGGAATCAAAACCACGGCAGTTGAGACCTTATGATACAATGCGCAGACGCTAACCATTCGGCCATCCAACCCCCGTAGATCGCAAAGAAGATAAAGGCATACGTTTATTAACGACCTACCTGATTTGTCAATAAAAAACCTACCTGATTCGTCAGTGTTTTCTAGTTTAAGTTCAACAGGTGTATCAAGTTTATTGATGACCATCAGGGCTGAACTAATCGTGATTATTTTACCCGCTGATCGTTCCTGTTTAACACTAAACTTAATACGAGTAGGGAAACCATTCTTCTATAACAATAAAAAAAACCCAATACACTACATCATCTACATATCTAATTCTGTCATCAGAATCATGTAAGTTAGATAGTCTCAACAATCTGATTAAAACACAGATTCTATTGCGTTTTGTTTTTATAGTTCAAAATTTCGTTTTACTTGTCTTTACTACACTAGGATATCGAAGACTTGTTATCATTGATGTGTTCTGGATGATGTGAGGGATTAGCCAATGAAACGGTCTGTTATGGTGATTTTTTGGCGTGAGGTGCACGGAACTGTGGGTAGAAACATCAACACTGATTGATTAATTAAATGTCTGATGTCACAAGGTCAAAAGCCACTTATATGACCTCTGATGTCAGATATCCTCTCACAGTTTCATATAACAACTTTTGGTCTTCAAAGGAATTATTAGTGAGGAGAAATTTGCCTGTGTATCTGTTATCACTTCAGTCAGTTATATTGAACGATAACTCGTGTTCTCCTTTTGCTTTTGTCATTCCGTTTCTTGAAAGCTTCATTACTCATCTATCGTAGCAATGATCTCTGTATTAAAATTGTATTTGGAACGTATTTAACAAGTTCTATCACATATGTGATAATGACTGGCACCAATATTGTCCTTTAAAATTATATAAGGAACGTATTTAACAAGTTCTATCACATATGTGATAATGACTGGCACCAATATTGTCCTTTAAAATTATATAAGGAATGTGTTTAACCAGTTCTATCACATATGTGATAATGACTGACACCAATATTGTCCTTTAATAATTGTTATGTTTGTGATAGTATGATAAAAACTGACCTGTTGTGCTGTGAAGTTATCTGAGTCGACATGTCGAAAATATATACCAACTTTATCAACACAGACTGCAGAAGGTTTCTGCCAGCCGTCAACTTTCACCAACAACTGATTGTGGTACATCTCATGCGTTTTCTACAAGTAAAATATGAAACAACGTTTGAAGCGCAAATCATTCATTTTAAATAGACCTATTATAGGTTACTCATGGGTTTTCTACAAGTAAAATATGAAACAACACAAATTATCACTTTCAAGATAGCCGAGAAAGCATGGTTTTTCTTTGTTAATGGTGTCTGACGGAGGACCTGCCAAAGGTTCATGTAAATGATAGTTGCACATTTGGCTGAAATTTTCATGGTTGCACACCATGCAGAAAAGTTGGACATTAAACCTCATTTCATTTCACTTATACGTCCACTGAAGGCTCGCACACAAAGGATTTTTTTCAGCGATATCTGGTCTCTGTGAAGTAAATAATACAGCTCAAAAACTGTTCCTGTTCACTACAGACAAACAATCAACGTATACATTATTCTATATACTGACCTTATGTCGAACTTTCTCACGTCTGCTAAATTTAAATGGTACTTCATCATCAGGTTTAACTAGCGTCCATCTTGTAGTTGTTATAAAATGATCGTCTTTCGCTAGCTGTATATCTTCTTTCTGTCCACTAGAAATAAAATATACAGAGAAAACTTGGTTATTTAGTCACTATCATTTACAATCTATTAAATTTATTAATCATACATTATGCAAGTTCTAAATCTGCTTCCTTCGGGTCTTTCTTTAGGCTTGAAATGTTATCTCAATTATTAATTAGACATCTATTAACATGACAAGACCATAATCGACTCTTGTAGGTCATAGGATGCTCTTGATTTTAAATAGATGTAAAAACAATTGGCAGTTATTGATTTAATTAAATAATGGGTAAGCAAGGCTTAGTTTACTACTTTAAAAACAGTAGCAATGACAGCAGAGACTCGGCTATTCTCCATACAGCCCTAACTTAGCTCAGAATGAAGTAATTTGACTGAAATTTTCAACATATTCTCTTTTCATTATCTATTTTATAACTAATATAGTGAGAAATGTCAGCTCTTAATCTAATCTTACATAATGAAATTTTCAAAATATTCTTCTTTCATTATCTATTTTTTAATTATTACAGCGAGAACAGTCAGCTTTATGGAGAGGGGGTCTATAGGCGTCTGCCTGTTCTCCAATCCAGTTTCTGTGAATAAATATTGTTTAGAAAAAAAAAAACCTTTTTATGTATTTAAATCTTACATAATGCGCCTTTAATGATCTGCATTTGTTTTGTACTCACCTGGTGGGTGTGGTGGTGGCCGTGGTAAAATGTAGATTACATCCGGTCTTGTTGATTAATTTATACGGTATGAACGGAGATCTTCGTCGTTGTTGAGGCAGACACTGACCTTGACCTTCAGGGTCATTACTTGTACCTCCTTCACTTAAACTAGAAATAATAATAATAATAATAATAATAATAATAATAATTATAATAATAATTATAATAATAATAATAATAATAATTATAATAATAATTATAATAATAATAATAATAATTATAATAATAATAATAATAATAATAATTATAATAATAATAATAATAATTATAATAATAATAATAATAATTATAATAATAATAATAATAATAATAATTATAATAATAATTATAATAATAATAATAATAATAATGCGCTAGACTCCATCCATAAAATGCATGCTCAAAGCTCAACACAAATGAGTCTCACAAAAAAAAAAGTTATTACGCTTGATAAGATAGTTTGAATAAATAAGTATTTACTTGTGATTTAAAAACAGCGAAAGTTTCAGATGTGGTATATTGAGTATAATACCCTGATATAGATCTATACTGGGTATAATACCCTGAAATAAACATGTGTCATATAGAGTATAATACCCTGATATAAACATGTGGTATATTGAGTATAACCCGGATAAAAACATGTGTTATATAGAGTATAATACCCTGATATAGATCTATATTGAGTATAATACCCTGATATAAACACGTGTTATATATAGTATAATACCCTGATATAGACATGTGATATATAGAGTATAATACCCTGATATAGACATAAACATGTGTTATATTGAGTATAATACCCAGATATAAATATATACACGTATTATATTGAGTTTAATTACCTGATATTGTGTCTGGAGTAATCTTCTGTCCATGTGCCTTTTGTATCGTTGTACTGGTTGATTAACATGCTGGTTACATTAATATTCAATACATCCGGGGCTATAAACATTATATATAATATTCAATACATTCAGGGATATAAACATTACATACAATTCAATACATCTAGGGCTATATATATAATTGATATTCAAAAAATTCGGAGCTATTAACATTCATAACATCCAATGCTATAACTGATATTCATAGATTATAACCATTATATACAGTACAGTCAGGGCTAAAAACATTACATACATATATATTGCCAGGGCTATAAAAATTGTAAATTATATATATATAATAAATATGTGTAACCTGTATACCAGTATCTCCAGCTACTGACAGTGGGAAATCATGCTAACAAATCCTGATGAACATTCTAGAGTTACCAGAAATCTCCTGGTTAGTGAGTCAGTACCCTTATTAGTCACAGGACCGTTATGGATCCCCACATCAACCTTGATCTCTGTTTGATGCCTTGACTGTATGACTCAAATACTACAGGAATTATCAAAAACATTTATACTTTTTTAAAAGAAAATTAGTATAAATATTTAACTTACAAGAAACTTGAATAGCTAGTTTTTCCTGTGGTTCTTTAAAAGCTCTCCATTCTATAAGACATCTGGAATATAATATGTGAGAATATGTCACACTTTTCATGATTAACATAGCGAGATAAAGGGAGAGAAACATTGTTCACAATTCACATCTTAGTTTGTGATGAGTGGACATTAACCCGCTGAAGTCGAGCATTCAGGTCACTGATTTCTTTGTCTATAATGTCCTAGGGGTGGTAAGAGAAGAACCATCACAATTTTTTAAGCTCAGTACCCACTAGTCCATGGAAGCATCTGTGGGGCTGACAGATAGCTAGTGTATCTCGTTCTTGCAAGGGATGAAAAACCAAGGTACAAAGTTTCACATTGGGAAATGCGTAAATTAATCTGTGGAAAAGCCAATCACTGGATAAAATTCTTCTACATCACAAGACACACATAAAAAAAATTCTATGTTTGTCCCAAAATTGACCAAGCACAGTCTATGAAAAAAAGACTTTAATCTTTCTTCCTATAATAAAACAATTAGATGTTATAGAGTCCACTTATGTCCATGATTCTAATAATAAAACAATTAAATGTTATATAGTCGACTTACGTCCAAGATTCTAAGAACGGTTCCCAACCAGACAGATTACGATTATAATATGATCCAATAATATTTAGTTTAGCTTTACCATCGATAGTAGGCTTCATAGTCTGGCTAATATCAATACCTAGAATTACAAAAAATAAACGACCGATATCTTAGTATAAACCCAGTAACTTGCTATATCGGTATAAACAGAGTGAAATCATGCTATAAAGACCAGATATGGAGTAAAACTCAGTCAAATCTGCTATCAAGTCAAGATTCAGTGCAAAACCCAGTCAAATCAAATATGGGATAAAAACCCAGTGAATTCCTGCTATAAAGACCAGATATGGAGTAAAAACACAGTGAAATTTTGCTATAAAGACCACATAGCAGTGAAAACCCAGTGAATTCCTGCTATAAAGACCAGATATGGGATAAAACCTCACTGAAATCTTGCCATAAAGGCCAGATATGAGATAAAAACGTAGTGAAAATCTGCTATAAAGACCAGATATGGGATAAAAATCCAGTGAAATATTGCAATAAAGACCAGATATGGGATAAAAACCAAGTGAAATCTTGCTATAAAGACCAGTTACAGGGTAAAAACTCCTATAAAGACCAGATAGCAGTAAAAACCCAATGAAATATTGTTATAAAGTCCACATAGTAGTAAAAACCCAGAGAAATCTACTATAAGTATAAGAACCAGTTAGGCGATAAACATAGGTGTTAATACTGAGTTAAAATCCAAGGATACAATATTCTTTTAAAAATATGCCTTGGAATAGAGTAGCCTATAATATTGAAGTGTACAATTGCAGTAAAATAATAAAATCACAAACTTCAATCTATTTACATCTATGTTCATTACAGGGCTGTCACTTCCAAATCTTTGGTGTTTTGTCTTTACCTTAGATTAGCAAGATATCTTATACCCAAAAATATGGCAATTTGACAGTGATATCTAAATCAAGAGTCAAAAATGGAGGTCTTGCATTTTAGGGATATGGTGTAGCTGAGTTGAATTAACTTTGCACAAGATCACAGGTAAAAAATCTAAAAATCAAGCATTTGACAAGCGCTTTTTGAGCAGTTTCCTAGAAAGACTGCACATTACATTTTCATAATCTATTACATTAGCAATGGCTATTTAATATACTGTGTTGTTTAGCCCAGTCGGAGCACAAAAGTAGGACACTTAACCACATTTCAATGGTTATGTAATATAGACTGTGAATGACTTAAATATGAATCAATATACACGAACCATTTAAAGATATTTCTGCTAATGGCACGTCAGCTCCACAATCATCAATCAGACAGAAATATAAACTGTTAGCTTTTAACTGTAAAAAAATAATATTTCAAATTTTATTCGTCAAAGTAAGATATAAAAAAGGTGCTGAGGCGGTTTAGGGAAATACCCCCCTCCCACCAAACACACACATACAATACAATCCAGATCCCTCAAATTCTGCCCCTTTGACAGAAATGAAAATGGTCTTTTTTTGTCCTGGGCCTTTATTCACGAAAACTTAAACTAAGATACAATCGAAATTTTAAGAAATACTGCAATTCGATTGGCTGACCAGTAAAATCAATTTGCATATATCCAATTTGCATATTGGTCAGCCAATCGAATTGCAGTATTTCTTAAAATTTCGATTGTATCTTAGTTTAAGTTTTCGTGAATAAGGGGCCAGTTTTAAGGTCTAGGGTTCGATTCCTTTGTTGAAAGAGTTTCCCCCATGTCAGTGGTACAGAGCAGAGTGATGTCCCCTTGTCTGTGGTACAGGACAGAGTTCCTGATGAAGATAAGTGTGACAGAGTTCCTGATGAAGATAAGTGTCTAATTGTTCGGATGGGTCAAGATCTTGTAAAAAGATCCTCTGAAAGTTGGACATCAAAAAAGTGTAGACCATAGACACAGATAGTACCACCGTCTGAGCAAAATCTTCATGATAACACTAAGCATGGATGCCCATCTAAATGAGCCTAGTCAATGCAGAAAAATAAAAGGTTGACATTTAAAATTCTACGTACTTCAATTGCCGTCAGTTCAAAATCACTATTCTTCTCTTCCTTCTTGGTTAACATGGCATGCTTTGTCAGCCATATTGCTGCCTCCTCAATGTTACCATGACAATGATGGAGTGCATAGCAACAATCATCTTTATTAAAACCCATTGACATCAACTGAAACATTGGTCCTGTAAGAAGAGTAAAAAGAAATTTCAAATCTGTACAATAGAAAGTATTGGGTTGAAATAGAGAGGTAGAAAAGCAGTATTCCCGTCTACACTTCTTCAAACGGGGCCACGGTGGCTCAGTGACTAAGATGTTGGCTCATCAGGTCCTGTGTTCGATCCATGTTTTGACCAAGAAAGGTCATCGTTTTTTTCTGGCATATTTCCCCATTGTCAGTGGTGCATGACAGAGGGCCTGACAAAGACAGTTGTCTAGTGGTTCAGATGGGACAAAGATAGCGTGCATGTAAAAGAACCCCTGGCAGTTGGAATTTGATATAAGAGTAGGCCATAGTGCCGCTGACCAGGCAATATTGCCCTAAAGGCACACTGCTGTATGGTGTATGCCTGTTTTCATTTGTTCAGTAGGAGCAGAACAGCAGGCTTATCTCTACAAAGAGTAAGATCACTTGTCATGCAAGGCCATGTGACCACTACCCAATGAGTAGTTTTAACATACATTGTATCACTTCACAACCTTGTGGGTTTTCTCCAGGTACTCCGGTTTCCTCTCACTGCTAAAAGACCCCTACGTGCAAACAAATTATTGAAATTAAATTGAACAATGTGTTAGTCCCAAAATGAACTAGTTTGCGTCGAGTGGACGTTAAACCCTCTCGCTGTCTCTGTCTCTGTGACATGTCTCATTAATCTCAGATTAGCAAAATAATATTTCAACAGTAGATGATAACTTTCAGTATTATTTCTATATTTTATGCATAAAAGCTATGAATCTAACTGTGTATTGGATACTTATTATCAAAATTAATCAGTCAGCTTAAACTGGACATAAGTACAAATTAGTTGATTTGGGGTGATTTTAAATGATTTTTACGAATTTTTTTAACAAAG